AGATCATGGCTGATTAACATTTTCATATAAGGCATTATAATCCCTTTTTTGCTAACATATCCATTCTTTGTTGGCCCATAGGGTCAAATCTAGCATGCCAAACATTCATATTAATATTGATATCACAAAACCATTTAATAAGCATCCGAATCCATAACGATTGTTTTCAAAAACAAATCCATATTTAGTATAATTAAAATTTATAACAAATCTTAAATAAAGAAAAAAAATGACAAAAACTAAATTCCATCAAATATCAAAAGCAAACAAAACATTATGTAAAATAAGGGTTTCTTCACCTTACACACTTAACTTATAGGTGTCAACTCCTTTTCCTTCAATCTTTTGATTATTTCCTACATAAATTTATTTTGCTCATGTCTCATGCTACATGGTTTGTGATCCATGAGTTTTCTTCGTCTCATTACATTCACAAGCAAAATTACTTTCTTTACCATAACTAACGCATTTGGGACCATTCCTTTTGCCACTTTTGACCACTCTTTGGTCTTTTAGGAATTTTTTCCTTTATTCCCAACATGTGACCTACGCTTAAAGCTCATAGCTTCCTTTGAACATGTGTATGCGATATACACATCAGCACTAGGCTTAAATGCTTCTTATACGATCTTTCTATATTTAAATATGACAAAAAGCACCATTAAGAGTCTTTATACTTTCATTGTAGGCTAAATGCACCTTTATGTGCTCTTAATTATATGGCAAAGAACGAGTTATAGCTTTAACCTCTTTTTCATCTGTTAAAGTATGATCAACCTTCTATTTAAACAATCTTTATTGTCAAGGCACTCCATATCTTTTTTAACAATATCATGTAACATTAACTCATGCATGATGTCACTCTTCATACTACTTGGCAACATAATGCTAGCAGTGGAGTTTTCTTTATCTAGGCTTCACAAATCCTTGGTCCCTTCTATGTTCGGACGTATTCTTAAACTCAGGCTCCACTAAGACAATGTTTAGAATTTCAAGAACCTATTATCCTTCTAACACATACTAGATTTTCTTACTTCGGATTTCATAATTATCCAGTAATCATAGACTTAAATACAAAAATCATATTCAAAGGATAAAACATTACTGAGAGATGTATGCACTACTTAATGCCTAGCATTACACATATCTACTTTGCCACAATGTCATAAGTAAAATAATGACAATCATTCACATAAAAATGAAACTAAAATGTCACTATGTTCATAATCAAATTTTTTTTTAATGTGTTTGATTATCACTTATTCTATTTCATTGTGTAAAATTTATCATTCTAAAATAGAATATATCAATTATCTTAGAACTCCCACTAACTATAAGGTTACGTTCAATCAATAACATACATTAATTGAAATTCACACAAACAAGTCTCATATAACATGTACATACTAAACACATGAACATTCCATCATCAAACATATACATTGTTTATTAAACTATGTTTTCAATCAATAAGTATCACCTGTCTAATGACTAGGATGGAATCTATAAATTCTTATGATAGTTTCACATTCTTATTAGCCATATATGGAGATTCAAGAATTTTGTGTATGCCATTATGAAAACTTGGGCCAATAAAGAAGGTCCCGTTTCTTCTCAGCACTTTCTCACAAAATCACAAAATTCTTTATCAAAGTTGTATCATTATGACGTTTCCTCTCTTTAGGCATCCAAAGATCTTTGAAAAGATTCTTTTGTCTAAGTGTAAGAAGTGTATCTATTCAACATCATGTATATGTTTAAATCCTCCTTACATGCTTGTTATCTAACAAGAATAACTCTTTAATCTTGTCGTAAACCCTTGATGATATGATACATAATATCATCATCATTTGGATCCATTTGTTGCTACGCTAATTCAATTACTAGCCTTATAGCTCTAAGTAATTGCCTCTAAGTCTTTATAACAATAGCAGTTTTTATAATCATTGTCATAATTTTTTGTAACATATATACAAGAAATTTTATGAACACACACAGATCTAATAATAATTAAAATATATTTTAATCATTCTTATACTTTTCATCCTCCTATAGTTAACCAAGAACTATCAAAAAAAAATTTAAACATTTATTTTATTTTAAAATTTTTTTATTTTTCTATATTTTGAAAGATCACGTACAGTATTCAAATTCTCTAAGAAGGTATTCAAATGCATATTTAAAAAAAAAAAAAGAAGGTTAAAAACTCACATTTTGTTTAGGACATTCGAATGCCTTGTTGAGCATTCTCATATTCGACTTTTGAAAATTGAAAACTCGATTCAAAATAATCCAAATGAAAATGGCAATGTGCAATTGAATGTCTCAAAACTTTCACAATAACTTTTTACAACAAAATTACACACTTTTGTATTCGATAGATTTTCGGACACATTCCTATAAAAACTCAAGAACTTGTCTATAATTTCGGTGTTTCAAGACAAACATTGAAACAACCAAGAATCAAGCCAACTTGGCCTGATACAAATAATGGATAATCTAATAATATATGAAGAAGATTATATATCATAAATAATGTGAAAGACTTAATTTATGGAAGCATAGCAGAAGAGATGTCAACTTGATTCACTGGTCAGGGTTAAAATCATGCATTCGAAAATTGTTCACTAATCATAGTGAAGTCCTTAAACACCAAAGGATGAGTTCCTCAAAGACTTTACAAGGAATGTCTTATTCTTTTGCTTTTTCAATCTCTCTTTTTCCTCTCTTATTCTTTATGTGACTCATCACATAGTTCCACATATGAATGAGACTTATCTCATTCTTGGTTTGGATAAACATGTTCATCCTTTTCATGGTTGAATTCCAAGCTAAATATTGAGAGTGGAAGAGACAATTTCATTTTTCTCATCCCACACAAAAAATGGCCGAATGCTATTTTTCTTCATTCTTTTGCTATAGCCGATTGCTATATTTAGAGGAAGTGGGGAAAGGAGTTAAAAGTTTATATTTATGATTTTAATTAAAAGTAACAACAAACATTAATTGCCCTTGGCAGTTTCCTTTTCTTAGTTATTAACAGAAGAATTTATCCTCCCATTATGGGCGGATATTTCCTACACTTAAGCATAAGTTGGCCCCAAAATTATGCTGATACCATGGCATGTCGTCAATGTTCCTTGCATCAGCCTTCCGCTCAAAGCCGGTTAGTAATGTATTTTATTCTGAAAAGGATTAGTCTCGCTTGCAAAGAAGCTCCATTCAAGGTTGAGGTGCAATATTTATTCGGATGCCATATTCGTTTATATCCCTTCATTGGTATGTTTTATCTGGCCAATGGAGAATTTCTTTTTTTTTTTTTTTGTGAAGAGGATTCTTCTCTCGAAAAATCATCCGATACAGATACACCACACTAAATACTAATTAGTCCATTAGTCAACATAGATTCTTCTATATTTTGGAATCCCATTTTTCCCTTATAAAAATGCTTCTCCACCTTGGACTCTCATAGCAATATAGCATCTCTTTCTTGCATTATAATAAGCTAGTTATCGCCTAGTTGTTTTACAAAGATGTCGATAATTCCAAGTAGCTATTTCGGTGGCCACAGTATTAACGAGCCTTTCTACCAGTATATTGGCATCCGTTCCAAGAATTTCACTACGGTGGCACTCTCGTTGCGCCTTGTACTGCTTTCTCCACTGCCATTCTAGCTTGCGAAGCTAGACTGGAATGAGACCCCAGAAGCTTATGTGTTCAAAGCGGATCTTCCAGGCTGAACGAGAACGAAGTCAAGGAGGAAGTGGAGGACGGCAGAGTCCTCTGCATCAGCGGCGAGAAGATCATGCTGAAAGAATTGAAGAGGGAGACGTGGCATCGCGTGGAGCATAGCAGTGGCCTGTTTGTGAGGCGTTTCAGGTTGCCTGAGAATGAAAAGGTCGACGAGTTGAGAGCATACTTGAAAACGGGGTGCTCATTTTGACAGTTCCTAAGGCAGAGGCCAAACACAACCCCAAAAGAACCATTCAGATCCACGGCAAGTGAGAGGTTTAGCTTCTGCTTAATAACTTCCCAAGGAAATGATAGATTGAGACGACCTATAACTACATAAAAAATCTTCAGGATCATATAAATAAAGAAATCTCATGAGTTCTTATTTCACTTGTTTTGGTAAAAATAAGAACCAGTAATATTCTCATGAGTGCTTGTTGGACTTGTTAGCTACAAAAATACCATTGAGTTTGAGTAAATTGGTGGCATTACTATTCTATCTAATCTTGAAAAGGTGTTTCAGCTTTTAATTTCCAAAGTTTAATAAGGCAACAAAAGCAATGTGCTTTTTATATATAGTATACTACATAAAAACTCATATTCTAGTATTTAATTGATGTAGTTAAAACTTCCACATTACATCTCTGTTAGACTATAACAATTGGCAAACAAAATAACCATTTTCTACTTTTTATATTTTCCAAACATGCCCTAGTTTCAGTCATTGAGCCAAATTGCTTGGAATAATTAACCCCTGTGGCAATGAGTGCTTTTTTTTTTTTATTTCACTATGCATTTCATGTCATATACATCGTGATTCAAGCCAGGTCAACGACCTGGACCAGGCTGATTGCTGTAGCGATTAAATGGTCTAAACTCAAAAGAACCGTAGCCCATTTCATTTCTTCTATGCGTTCCATTTGCGACCCATAGATGGAGTACTGCAGGTATTAGATAAAAAAAAATCGAAGACAATAAAATATTGGCAATGGTTGCTTTTCTAAGCTAATTGAAGATGGCATTTATAAAGCCAGATATTTTCCTTAAACAAAACCTAGAATACTAGTACTAAAAAAAAAGTAGGTCAATACAAAAGAAAAATGTCTGAAAAGAGAGAATAAAATCTCTGCTGTAGCAGTCATTCGGTCCGTGTGAACTTGGGAAATGCCAGTTCCAGGGGGATTGCTTCCAAACGAGTTTTGCAGGATTCTAAAGCACTTGTCTTCTCTCTTTTCCCACGCCCCTTCCAAGCACGTATAAACCAATAAACCACTACAACCATGGAAGAGTAAGCCACCTTCCATGGAAATGAGCGTGAACCCCAGGAAAACTCCTAAAACTAAAATCCCAGATTAAAAATGAAAAGAAAAAAAGAAAAAAAATTCTATTTTTCTGTTCCCTCTTTAAAAGCCCTGCTTCTGTTCTTCATCAGAAAACCAAACAAAACAGAGGAAAATAAATAATACGAATATGGTGAACATGGTTGAAACGACATCGGCGTGGAACACGACGGGACTCCACGTTCATCGGAAGTCATTGATGCACATGAGTTTCCACTGGGGCCATAAATCCGAAATCCTCTTCTCGGGTTGGCCAGGTTCCAGCTCGGGCATGTATGCATTGGCCTTGATCTTAGTATTTGTATTGGCAATGATCGTGGAATGGCTCTCTTATTGCAGCATCATCAAGCCAGGAGCCAACAAGGTTGCCGCTGGGTTTTTTCAGACGGCGATGCATACGGTTCGTGCAGGGCTGAGCTATATGGTGATGCTGGCTGTCATGTCGTTTAATGGCGGTGTTTTCCTCGCTGCTGTTTTCGGACATGCGGTTGGATTCTTGGTTTTTGGGAGCAAGGCTTTTAGAAAATCCGGTGGCTCTGAGAAGTTGCCCGACCTTCCTCCTAGGAAGTAGGAAATGCTGAGGTTGAATTGGAATTTAAGGGGTTTTTCTTTTTTTTTTCATTTGTTTGCGCTTGTTTGGTGTGTGTTTTGATTAAACAATGGGTTAATTATGAGACAGAGAGAAGTTAATTTCTGCTTTTATAAAGATCATGCCTTGTCCAGGGGAAAGCGCTAGGCCCAAACACTTGTTTTGTGGACTAGATTCATTACGTTTTCAGTTTCTGTATCGTCCAGCCTAAATAGCAAAGAACAGATCAAGAAAACTGATTATAAATTAATGTTCCATGCGTTTTTAACAAAAAAAGAATAATTTCCCATCCTAGTTTCTTCCTCAGTTGAACGACGAAAGATTTTACAAGCTGTCTTCGCTTAGTACCTAAGAAGGCTTAAGAGGACATATAGGAAGTGAATTCGCACACCATCCTCCTTATCAATTGAAAAAAAATATTTACAAGCTGCTTTATCTTCAATATTCGGTATAAATCTTTGCAAATTATTCAATATTAATGCTAAAAGAAACCATATTCGCTTTGCCATGTGTAATTTTGTTCAAACTGAGGGAATATTTGTCTTTTTTTTTCCATTATTGGGTACAAATTAAGGTTATTAAAAATCAAAACATAATCTTAGCAAAACAGGATCAAACCAATCTCAACAATTACATATTGATTCTTTTAATTTAAATTAATTTAATAGAAAGAATTCCTACCCATTATAAGATGATAATCTCCCCTCTCCTTAGGATCATGAAAACTTGGAAACCATTTATTCCTGAAGCAATTATTAAACAAGTTTAAGTTGTTTTGTTTATATATATATATATATATATATATATTTTGAAGTTATTAAAATTTGAGTACTAATTATTGAAATTAAGAGCTCATCACTCTAACATATCATACGGTTATCAAAACAAGTTTAAGTTGTTAGTGATGAGCTTGATTTCCGAATAATGAAAATTTTTTCACCCAACCAGCATGTTTCAGACTATTTAAAGAGTTTATGGCTATATTATATTCTCCCAAAGTCCCATCTGTTTCCATGAAATGGCTCAATTCTACTCTCATTCTCGATCTCTCCCTTGCCAGATTTTCTCTCCTTTGTTTCTACTGATCTTCATCATCACCATCCACTCCTCTTATGGAGATAACAAAGAGGAGCCAATGCCATTGCTTGGTCAAGACCTTATGTTTATGATTTGCAACCACACGTCCGTCAATAAATTTTGTGTCGATAATCTAATACAAACTGCCCCGTGGGCAAAAGCGAGCGACATTTGTGATTCCGCTTTGCGTTCTGCGGAGGGCAGAGCAGACGAAGCCCGACGAATCATAGCTAGCCTGATCGAAATTTCTGTTAGGAAAATGGGGTCCAGTCCCATGTAAGTGGTTTTGGACCAAGTAAAGGCCATGGGCCTTGATCTTTTATTTTACACAGAGCCCTAGCTACTTAATAAAAAAGAGGTGGGGTTGTTTAAGGTGTGTGTCGACAACCAAGCAGAGAAAGAAGAAAAGCCAGGAAAAGCAGAGAGAGAAAAAGGAGAAGGGAGAGTTGGTTGAACGGAAGTCAATCCGTGGTCCGATTGAGTTGGAACCTTGTCAGGAGGTTTATGATTCAGAGTTCTACATTCTGAACGGTGAAGATCGGGTTTGAAGCTCTCTAGAAACAAATCCAGGGTGTATTTGTTGAGTCACTTATTTGGTGAGATTTCTCCAATTGTTTCTCTAGTTGTTGATTAGCTCTAGTTTTAGCTAGAGAAGAACTTTGTATAACTATTATTTGATAGTGAAGATTTTTCTGGTGGCCCGTGGTTTTTTTCCCTCTACACTGGAGGGTTTTCCACGTAAATCTTGGTGTGCTTTATTTTTCCTGCGTATTTGATTATTGATTGTTGTCTATTGCTTCTGTATTGTTGTGATTATTGCTTCAGGCGCAACAAGTGGTATCAGAGCGAGGGTTATTTTGAGACATCGATACAGAAGCAACCCAGGATAGAAGTAAATTCTGTTTGAGATCATGGAAGGTGATACAGGTTCCATGATAAAATTGACAGCATCAAATTATTCAATTTGGAAGCCTATGATGGAGGATCATCTATACTGCAAAGATTTGTATGAGCCAGTATTGGGTGATTCGGTTAAACCAGCAGATATGAAAGATGAAAGCTGGAAGAAGCTAGGTAGAAAGACGCTGGCTACAATCAGAAAATGGGTTGATATCAGCGTGTTCCATCATGTAGCGCAGGAATCGGATGCTCACATTGTTTGGGAAAAATTGGCAGCATTGTATGAGAGAAAAACAGGTATGAATAAAGTTATGCTTGTTAAAAAGATTGCAACTTGTAAGTCTAAACATAAATCTAAGTTTAGAGGTAAAGTGAAGTGTTTCCATTGTGGTAAGGCTGGTCATATAAAACGAAATTGTAGAATCTTGAAGCAAGAGCGAAAAGATGAGAAAGGCAAGAGTTCAGATGATGGCAATGTTGCAGCAGTGAATTCAGATAGTGATTCAGTTACTTTGATTTGTACACATGGTGATTGTAATCATGTTAGTGATCCCGGCATTGAGTGGATAGTTGACACAGGAGCGGCATATCATTGTGTTCCTAAGAGAGAGTTGTTTACAACTTACAAAGCAGGAGACTTTGGTTGTACCAAGATGGAAAACAAGAGTGTGTCGCAGATTGTTGGGATTGGTGATATTGGTGTACAAACTAGTACAGGCTGCATGTTGACTTTAAGGGATGTCAGACACATTCCAGATATGAGAATGAACTTGCTTGCTATTAATGTCCTTGATAAGGAGGGATATGAAAGCCGACAAAAGAATGGACAGTGGAAGCTTCTCAAAGGATCTATGGTAGTTGCAAGGGGAAAACTATGCTGCACAATGTATAAGACATGGATGCAATTGAACGGTAACCAGGTAAATACCGTTGAAAATGATGCTTCAGCAAACTTGTGGCACAGGAGGCTGGCACACATGAGTGAAAAAGGGTTACAGGTTTTGGCAAGGCACTCTCTCATTCCCTTGACCAAAGGTATGTCTCTCGATTCATGTGATTATTGTTTGTTTGGTAAGCATCATAGAGTTTCTTTTCGTAAAAGTTCTCAGAGAAAAGAAAATAGATTGGAATTAATTTATTCTGATGTATGTGGTCCCATTGAGGTTGAGTCATTAGGTGGTAGCAGATATTTTGTTACTTTTATTGATGATGCTTCACGTAAAACTTGGGTGTATATGTTGAAATATAAAAGTCAGGTACTGCAGTATTTTCAAAAATTTCATGCCATGGTTGAAAGGATGACAGGGTTACCCTTGAAGTGTATTCGAACTGATAATGGTGGGGAATACACATCTAAAAGCTTTGAAGAGTATTGCTCAAAGCATGGGATCAGGCATGAGAGGACAGAACCTGGAACACCGCAGCATAATGGTATAGCTGAAAGAATGAATCGCACCATTGTGGAAAAAGTCAGATGTATGTTGAGGATGGCAAAATTACCAAAGCCATTCTGGGGTGAAGCAGTCAACACAGCTTGTTATTTACTTAACAGGTCACCATCAGTTCCTTTGGGCTTTAACATTCCAGAAAGAGTGTGGACAGGAAAAGATGCTTCATACTCTCACTTAAAAGTTTTTGGGTGTAAAGCATTCATGCATGTACCAAAAGAGCAGAGGTCAAAGCTTGATAGTAAAGCTACACAGTGTGTGTTTGTAGGATATGGTGATGAGGAATTTGGCTACAGGGTATGGGATCCAGTAAAGAGAAAGACAGTCAAAAGCAGAGATGTGGTCTTTCATGAAAAAGAAACCATAGCAGACCTTGAGAAAAATGAGAAGACTACACGAGTTACTGTTGAGTGTGATGTTTCAACACCGACAGGGATTTCACAGGAAAGAGCCACAGATGGTGAAAATGAGCCAGAAACAGAACTTGGGGATATGAATGAGCCAGCCATAGTTGGTGATGAGCCAGATGCTATTAGTTTTGAGCAGGGGGAGCAATCCTCTCTACCTGAGAGTGTTGAGCAGGGGGAGCTACCTTCAGCATCAAGTGATGTAGAGTCTCAGCTCAGGAGATCTACTAGAGAGCGCAGGCCATCTACCAGGTATCCAAGTTCAGATTTTATTTTAGTTACCAGTGAAGGGGAGCCAGAAAGCTTTCAAGATGTGCAGGCTACTCCGGATAGAGAGCACTGGTTAAAAGCAATGAAAGAAGAGATGGAGTCATTGCGAAAGAATGGTACTTATGATCTTGTTAAACTTCCAACAGGGAAGAGGCCATTAAAGAATAAATGGGTGTTCAAGTTGAAAAAGGATGGTGACAAACTAGTGAGGTACAAAGCTCGATTGGTAGTAAAAGGTTTTTCTCAGAAACCAGGCATCGATTTTGATGAGATTTTTGCTCCAGTTGTAAAAATGAGTTCTATTCGAGTGGTACTGGGATTGGCAGCTAGTTTGAATCTTGAGCTTGAGCAACTTGATGTTAAAACTGCATTTTTGCATGGTGATTTGCAGGAGGACATTTATATGAATCAGCCTGAGGGTTTTGAAGTGAAAGGGAAAGAGCACTTAGTTTACAAATTGAAGAAAAGCTTGTATGGCTTGAAACAAGCTCCGCGACAGTGGTACAAGAAGTTTGATTCTTTTATGATGAGTCATAGCTATAAAAGAACAGCAGCAGATTCTTGTGTGTATATTAAACAATTCCCTAATGGTAACTTCATTATCCTATTATTATATGTTGATGATATGTTGATTGTAGGACAAGATGCTAGTATGGTTTGCAGGTTGAAAGAACAATTGTCTAAGTCCTTTGATATGAAGGATTTAGGTCCAGCAAAGCAGATTCTTGGTATGGACATTATCCGAGATAGGAGAGCTGGAAAGCTGTGGTTGTCACAAGAAAAGTATGTTGAACGAGTGCTTGGTAGATTCAACATGCAACATGCTAAATCAGTTAGCAGTTCACTTGCCAACCATTTTCATCTAAGTAAGAAATCTTGTCCAGTGTCTAAGGAAGAGCAACTAGCTATGTCTAGTATTCCTTATTCTTCTGCAGTCGGTTCTTTAATGTATCTTATGGTTTGTACAAGGCCTGACATTGCTCATGCAGTTGGTGTAGTGAGCAGATTT